CACCCACGACAACCAGCACTGGCAGACGGCCCCACTGTGGACGTGTGAGCAAGCCCGGGCAGGGAAGGGCGGCCTGGGACCCCAAGGGCCATGGGAGTTCAGGGAGGGAGGTCGCTCAGGGGCACTTCCCAATGTCTGGGATCCGCGGTGCTTGTCCACGCCAGCACTTGGCATTCGAGGAGCTGGCGGCGGGGGGGGGAGGGGGAGTAGGGATGGCATTCCTGGCAGCCACGGCCATGTCCTGCTGGCACACTCCTTGGCAGTGGGGCCCTTCTGCGCCTGCACCAGCGCCAACAACAACACGTACTGGTGCTTGAGGACCATCAATGAGACCCACAACTTCCTCTTCTGTGAATTCGCCACGGGCTTCCTCGAGTACTTCGACCTCAACACCGACCCCTACCAGGTACACACGGCAGCAGAGATGGGGGCGGAGGCGGAGGGTACCACCAGCACGTGCTGCACCCCTGAGGAGGTGACGGTGCTTTTCCCACGTCGTCCCACCGAGTCTCCCAAGAGTCAGGAAGCCATGGAGAACTGCCCAGGGCACACGTGGGGAACACAGGAGCCCCAACAGAGCGACTGGGACACGTGAGGCGTAAGGGAGGCAGTTTCTGTCATGTAGCCTTGGGGCCGTCTATCCTTCCACCCTTAAAGAAAAACCTGAATTTTAAGAAGACTTTACATTTTTAAAAGAACATTGAGGAAGGGAGAGAAGGCATCTTCACCAGCTGGTTCACTCCCCTCATGGCTCCCTTAGGCAGGTCTAGCCCAGGCCAAAGCCAGCAGGGAGCTGGATCAAAGCAACAGGGGGTAGGACTCGACCCAGCACCCCAGGATGGTATGTCTGTGTCAGAGGCAGCTTCACCCTGTGTGTGCCATGCCAGCCCATGCCTAGAACCTTTCCTGCATGAGCTGTGCATTGCCAGTGTCTGCCGATCCACTGCTCTGGTCGCCATACAGGCGGCCTACCTTCCTACTCAGGGGTCAGCCCTGTTACCAAAAAGGCTAGCAGAGGAAATAGTTGGGTCCATCACCAGGAGCTCCCAGACCTGTCCTTCCAACCAAGGCTAGGAAGGGAAGCTACCTGGCCAGTGCCTTGCAAGGAAGTACGCTGATGTGATTTTTGTTTTGTTTTTCTCTTTCATCCCCCAAATGGTTGTAATGGCCAGTGCTGAGCCTGGGACTCCACCTGGGTCTCCCACATGGCTGGTAGGGCCCCAAGCACTTGAGCCGTCTGCTGCTGCCTTCCCAGGTGCGTTAGCAGGGAGCTGGATCGGCAGCAGAGCAGCCAGCACTCAAGCAGTACTCGCAGGGAAAAGGCTTAACCCCGTGACCGGAGCACTGGCCCCCATAGACACGATCTAGTGGGTCTGGAAATGGAAACATCCTCACCTCCTCAAACGCTCCCCCTTGTGGCTACAGTAGAGGTCGGGGAGCAGACCCCACCTCCCCAGCACCTGCATGCCAGAGGTGTGGGAGTTGGGATGGGAGCCCCCGTCTCATCTCCTTGGCCACCTTCTTCCCACTCAGCTGATGAACGCCGTCAACACCCTGGACAGGGATGTGCTTAACCAGCTCCACGTGCAGCTCATGGAGCTGAGGGGGTGCAAGGGCTCCAAGCAGTGCAACCCCCGCACCCGGAACATGGACCTAGGTGAGCAGCCACCCCGGGCCAGGGCAGGGGCTGAGGGAAGCATGGGAGACAGGAGGTGTAATCCTGTGAGGAGCCATGAAGGCCACAGTGGGGCTGAGATTCTGTCCTTTGAGGGCCTCGGGAACTGGGAGGGCCTGGGCAGTGAGATGGTCTCCACCTGGAAGGGACATCCCAGTGGCTTCATGGGCGAGGGGATTGTAGGGACACAGCTGGGAGCAGGGAGGGTGGAAAATGAAGTCCACAGAATGTGGGGTGAGGGAACCTTGAGCCAGTTGGACAGTGCTAAGATAAGGATGCCAACTAGGTATTTTAAGACTGCCTTTTGCACCCCCACCCTTTGTGAGAAAGGGAGAAGTGCCCTCTTAACTGGGCACAGCAAGCACAGAGGGAGCAGCCAAGGCAGACCCGGGGCCCCTGTCCCTCCCCCAGGAGGGTATCTCTGGTCAACAGAGCACCAAGTGACTTGGGAGGAAGGACGCAGCCGTTGCTGTCAGTCTGAGTCAAGAGGAGAGAGACGTGGCCTTACTGTTCTCTGGGAACTGGGGTGACCCCGGCTTCTCAGTGGACCCTAACCTGCACCTGTCAAGGGCCCCCTTGGTGATCAGAACGGCCGGGAATTGAGCAGTGCACCAGTGCCAAGGGCTCTAGATGCCTACGCTAAGGCCCGGACAGCCCTGACAGCCCTGACAGCTGACCTTCATTATGGACAAGTACAGCGAGCTCACTGGGCAGGCTCCAAAAACCCATGCACTCGACCCCGCCCATTCCCCATGGGACCTTCCCGAGGACCCAGCCACAGTGGCATCTCCATTCTGCCTGCCTTTCCCAGGGCCCTTGGCTTCCAGGATCGTGGTGAAAGCCTTCAGGAGGCTTTCTGGGTTGGTGGGATTTGTTCATTGAACAGGTAGTTTGTGACTGGTCTCAACTCTTCTTTTTCTACTTACTTCCTCCTCTAGGACTCAAAGATGGAGGCAGCTATGAACAATACAGGTACTGCGTTTTGTCCTTTGCCCCTAGGGAAAGCGCCATCCCAGCCCACCCTGCTGCTCCACGCAGGACGGCTGGCACCCGGGATACCTTGTGTGTGTAGCTCTTTGGGAACGGCTCTCTTGGTGATAACATTCCTTTTCTTTTTGACACTTGGAAATGTAGGCAGTTTCAGCGTCGAAAGTGGCCAGACATGAGGAGGCCTTCCTCCAAATCGCTGTGAGTTGAGGGACGGTTCGCGGGTTGCTTTTCTTGTGCATGTCCTTGCCCGCTGCCTTGCTGTTCCCACAGTGACAGAGGCGGCAGGCCTGGAAGATGGAGACACCCAGGAGACACGTGTCATGCTTGCCACGCATACTCCCGGGCTATCACCAAAGAGGCGACAAGCCCTTCAGTATCAGAATGGCCAAACGAGGCTGCAGATGGCAAAGGGCGTGCTGGGCCACATGCTTAGCGGTACAACCCAGCCTCGTTCAATGGCATCCAGAAAGCCCGACCCACACCCCCACGGCACTGCTTCCTAACTGCAAGCAGCAAGGCAGGGGTTGGCGTGGGGGACCCTCAGCGACGACCGTGGTAACCTCACTGGTCCTGTAGAGCTGACGGGGACCTTGGGGAAATGGGGTCTTCTGGCTTCACTGAGGAAGCTCAGAGACGCAGACAGGCGAAGAGAATTTACCTGTAGTCACGTGTGAGCTGCCATGCCTGGGCCTCTCCCTGCTTTCTGGGTGTGCATGGTGAGTTCTTTAGCTGCTAACATCAGACCAGCTCCTCTGGGGCCTGCCGTCTCCTTCCACCTTCCCCTGGACCAGAAGCCAAGGTCAGCAGGTGGTAGCAGGGCCCCTGGCAGAGCCTCCTGCCCTGAGGGAGTGAGCGTCCTTGCAGCGTGTTTTGTTCCACAGGGGACAGCTGTGGGAAGGCTGGGAAGGTTAAGCCGAGCTGCAGACGGACCTCCAGAACCAAGAGGCCTCGCCTGGGTGCACACAGTGAGAGCCCTCGAGTGACTTCAGCAGGCCGGGACTGCGGGCCATGAGGCCCGCGACACACAGCCCGCTTGTGGGATGCCCGGCGGGAGTGGAGCGCCTCGGGAAACCCACTCGTGTCCCTGCTTTTGCTTTGAAGGATTATACCTCACCAGCCGCACAGAACGCATTTCCTGCCAGAAAGTCACCACTAACCGTCCCGGGAGGCTCGTGAGGGAGAACACAGACAGCCTCTTGGAAACTCCCCAGGGGTGAAAGTCACTGGAAATTTTCTGAATCTAGGGGAGAGACAACCGTTTTTAAAATGCTCGTATTATTCTGATTCGTCACACAGAAGGGACTCGGCGGCAGCAGGACTGGGGCGCGTTGCCGATGCTACGGACAGCGAGCCCCGTGTCAACAGCATCCAAGAGGGGGACCGAGCTGACCGAGCGCGCCCCGGCTGCCGCTGTGGACATGGACTTGGCTGTATATACGGGACTACTGATGTGTAACCCACACGGGAACACAGAGGAATCTAATAAGAAATCCCGGTTTTCCAGAGTGCTGTGCAAATAAACGCCCTGTGGCCAGTTGTCAGAGAAAACCCCTTGCCACTGTGAGCTTTGTGTTACCGCACAGACCCCATGCCCTGCGGCCCCTGTTAGCCCAGAACTGTCTGTGAAGGTATGCAAAGAGATGAAGGTGCTGGTCTGCCCCATTGTAAATCATATTTGTAATGAAGTTTTGCCCTACAGTGTTCAAAACCCCAGCCAATGGCCAGCGCTTAAATATGAAGAAACGTTTGACTTTTTGTTAATTCCCAGGAGTGTTCTGCTGTGTTTGTTTTGTAAAGATTCAAGATACTAGCCACAAGTACCTTTTCCCAAAGGAGATACTTCCTAAAATGTAGGACACTTCAAGAAACCACACAGGTAAGTGCGCCGAGGTGGCTCTGTGTACGACAGCGGCCGGAACCTTGAATGCGAGACAGCATGGAGGCTTTGGCCATGACCGGCTCGGTGTACTCACCAACTGGGAAGTCCTTCCGTTTCATAACAACAGTTCTAGCTTTTGCAGTGTCCCAAACAAGCTAGGCTTCCTGGCAACAGTTGCCAAGGGTTTTGTTCCTGGGGGTGGCTGGGGGTGGAAAGGGGTGTTATTTTCTTTCACTCCCCAAATGTACAGAGGCTGGACCAGGCTCAACGCCAGGAGCCAAGAATTCCACCAGGCCCTGTGAGAGCTGGTGTGGGGGGCCAGGGCAAGGACTCAAGCTGGGCGCTCCCACAGTGCCCCAGCCACCTGTCCAAATGCTGCACAAACTGCCACCATGACCTGAAATAGGCTTCTTTAACCTCTTTTACAAAACAAAACAAAAACAAGCTGGCAGACTCCAACGTTAAATAGAAACCTTTATTTACAGTCACATCTAAAATGGCCAGCGAAGCACTCACAGCTCAGGGGACCTTCTGGAGTCATCTCTCGTGGTCTCAGGGGTCTGAGGGATGAAAGGATTCTAAAGCAGTGCTTAATGTAAACTCGACTGAAACACAATTCATTCTTAATACTCTAAATCAATTCCTGAGAATTGAGATATTGCTCTAGGCCTGACATTTCCATCATGAAGCGGCCACATGCTGCCCGCTGCTGCAGTGACCCTGCGGCTGAAAGCCACTCACGCTGCTTGGGGACGCTGCCCCAAGCTTCTGCACAGGCAAGGGTGACGGGCAATCCGTCTCATTTCTTTCCAGCTGCTTCCGTCTAGCTGCGAGGGCAGGAGCCGGCTCTCGTCAGCTGAGCCTGCCTCTCCACTCTCCCCCTGCAGACAGTAAACGCTGAGTCTAAGCAGGACTGTGTATTGATATTTACACCTTTTGATCCAGATGCGATTTAAAGAGTGGCATTAATATGAACATTAGTGCCGCTTCTGTTTTTGTAAAAGAAAAAACATGTATGTGTTATATCATTTTGATCTTCATAAAATATATTTTAAATTTATATATCTTTGGATTCAGCAAAACAAAAAAAAAAAGGTAGGTACTGGAAATATCCCACATTTCTAAAAGCAGATGAAAAGCGGACTTGTCCTGGTCATTCAGAGAGATACCTAGGTTTGCGCAGGGGTGAGGAAAGGGTGGAGAGAGGCCGGCAGCAGGAGTACAAAGAGCATCATCCAAAACAGATAAAAGGGCAAGAAAGATTAAAAAACTAAATGTCTCAAAGATGGCACTGATCAAAAGAGAATCAAAATCTTGAGTTTGCACCAATAGGATGAATAGGTAGAAAATATAAACACTTGTAATAAATTTAAATTGTCCCTCATATAAAAAGGAGGTGAGCCCAGAGCCAGGCCTGAGGGAGGAGGGCAGGCGGCGAGCTCCTGCTGGGTTCTGAGTTCTGTCGGAGTACAGAACACATCCGACACGGCTGGTCAGGACAGGCTCGTCCTCTGCGCTACCTGAACCCCGCAGACAGGAGAAGGGGTCACCGGAAAAGTACAATGAGGGGAAGTTTATGCACTTATAATCCCAACTTTATTTTTAACACCAGTGGAGAAGGGGTAGGAGACTCAAAATGCTCTATACACTTGGGAAAAAAACAAAGTGCCCCCTCGTGGTGGCTCTGGGAACATCAGGGCCAATGTTCTTCCCAATCAAGCCATCTTACCCCCCTTCCTTCAGACATTTACAAAGACTGGCTGAAGGTGTGAAAAACAACTGTAAAAAAATTATTGTAGTATTACTATAGTATTGCTAGAAAATTATGCCGATGCTGGCAGAGATCTTTGAAATTCATAAATATTCCAAAAACCCAGCTCTATGAATTGGTTTTGAACCTAATTAATCCTAATAAAAGAATTAAAACTTGATTTTCCCCCTGCTCCTAAGTCAGTTTGCAGGTGTCGGGGGGAAAGGCAGCTGCAGGAGACGGGGTAAACTGGAGAGGGGGTGTACAGGATCCAGACCCCGGCAGACCACATTTAGGGACACTACTCATAACTCGCGGGCACGTCACGACCACGTCGTGCGAGCAGAAGGGCAGGAAGTACGCCCAAGCTTACACTCCTGGGAACTCACGTGGGATCCGGGTCCTAGCAACCAAAATCCTCCCAGAATGGATGAAAAGACAACTTAATTAAAAAGAATTGCTACTGTTTCATTTATGGACTAATAAAAAGCCAGATTTCTTTTAAATCAAACTGCTTGTTTTTGATTCCTGATTTTTAAAAAGAATTTATCTCCACATATCCGTTCTTTCCTCCTAAATTAATAAAAGTGCTTGGTTTTGGCAGAAGATTTTTTTTTCTTTTTAATTTAAAATGCCTACATCTTAAGCAAATGATCTTTTAGAAGCATTTAGAGTGTGAGATGGAAAGGGGCGAGGCCTCAAAGGCTGGAGGAGGCAGAGCTGCCGGCCGCTGTCCCCGCCCACGCCACACAGTTGAGGGCAGGGCTCTTGTGTTGGCAGCCCACCGCACTGAGCTACTGAAATCAGCAATGTTAAATATTTATCTTCACAAACTCTGTAAAAATGAGTTGTTGTGATTAAAAAAAAAAAGGTATATACATATTTTACATAATACAATATCTTAAAGGTCATATTTACAAAAAAAAAAACTATTCACAGAAACACTGCAAAATTCTGATTCAGAATGCAGTACCTGGCCTTGAGTTTCACAAGTTTATTTTCAAAAAGCATTATTGCTCTACCATATAGGCAAAGGGTGACACTAGTATTTAAAGAAAAAAATCATAGTTCTTGTCCAACAGATTAGACAAAAACCAGGAATGTGGTTCACTCCTCAAGACCTCAAGAATATTGCATTTATCCTTACGTTTTAAATAAAGTGCACTCGGCTGCACGCTAGCATGTAAAACTTTTGCTACTGCTGCAATTAAATACTGTCGTCTCATTTTCCCTTCTGCAAAGCCATCTGACATGAGTGACAATCCCTAGAGGTGAAGCATTACAGAACGTGGGGACACACCGAAATCTCCGTCAGGGACTGAGTGTTCGCCACCAGCAGCTAAGGACACGAGTAGGGAAAGCCAATTCCAAGGGAAGTGCTCAGTAGGGACGAACACACAGGAGGAGTGCGACTGTGTTCTTGGTCCAACACTGCTCTCAGTCTCTCGATGTCCTCGGGCCACCTACATAGTACTATCTGAAAGACTTTGGCTATCAAGGCAGAAAGAAGTGACACGAGGGAATTTTGCGATCAGTGACACCTCATATCTCCAGAGTCGCATCCCTGGGAGGAGTGACGCCAGACACGCTCGTCCTCTGGACACCAGGACACAGGCAGACACTGCGCTTCAGCTTAGAAGTCCATCCACCTCGGACATCGCTTGCAACGCCCTGGACGGAAACCACAGGGACACTCCAAACGACTCCCTCCCGACGGTCCCTGCACAGGGTCACCTGACAGTGACCTCAGAGGACCTGGTCCACAGACGTCAGCAATATTTCTGTTAGCAATCAGAGAGAACAAGAACAAAACAAGCTGTCAGCATGACACACACACACACACACACAAAATCCCTTTGTCTCCAATGAAGGCTTACACCCAGGCTCTGGCTTAGATCCCATATTATCAAAGAATGCAACACCAAATGCCTCAAACCCAAAGTTTTTCTAATTTACATATTTGGGTTTTTTTTCCTTCTTTATTTCTGGTTTTCCATTACCATATTTTTAATTTATAGGATGACACCCAAGTTAAAACCTACTTAGAACCTGTAGATGACAGAGGAGGGAAGAAGGTTCTATTCAGAGCTCAAGAAAGTTCTTGAAAAAGGGAGCCATCTGCATACCTGGTCAGGACCCATGGGCATGCCGGACATGGGCATTGGGTGCATGGTCATCTGTCCCAAGTGACCACTGCTACCATTCATGTGCATCATGCCATACGCTGCAGGATTTCCCTGGTGGGCAAACTGCTGCTGGGCGAAGGAACTACAAAGAAAGTGCACTGTTACTCCCGGAGTTGCTTGAGCAACACAGAGCACACATGGAGGCCATCACACCATTTTAACATCGGAGAGGATTTTCCCGAGAGCCTGCCCACTTCTCACGCTGTCTGCACTCAGCACCCGACCGGTCACACGCGCAGGAGCCAAACGGCACACTCGATAACCCACACTGCTGAGCCCTCCAACCGAACATGGCTCGAAGTACACACAGGTTACTTTCCTGGACTTTTGGCACTAGGAGGGACTAACTTCTGATGGCACTGGTCTTTACCTGTTCCTGGCCAGGTTTCCTGATGGCCAGGCCTTCATTTCTGAGGACTGATACATGGGTGCAGTCTGAGGGTGCTGCATCATGGGATTCTGGGAAGGACCCATTCTTGATGACATCATCGCATCCGGAGGACTGGACACTCTTGCAAAAGCTGGGTCCGGCTGTTGTCCCATTCCTTGAAACATGGAAGAAAAAGAAATGACTGCTCATGCGTCCTTCTCAGATCATCAGCTTTCTGCAGTAACTCCATTATCCCTTCCCAAAGGGAACAGTACAAGAGGCTGCGTCCCTGCCTCTAGTCAGGATGGCAAGACAGCACTGGGCTCGGCACCGAGGCTCCCTGTCTGGTCACCCACAGGCCATGGCTTCAGTGGCCTTGCCATGCACAGGGGACTTTCTCCACTCGCACCCCTGTCCTTGAGAGGGAAGAGTTCTTGTCCCAAAGTGGGTGTGCTGCATCCAGGGTGTTCAGCTTGAACCCCACAGCATCCTAGAGCCTCTCGAAGGCAGGACTAGAGAGAAATCGGTGTCACTCCTAAGGTGCCCCTGCAGCGGACCTGCAGAGCCCACACAGTACATTCCTGCCACTGGCCTGTTCTCCTACACCGCGACACACAAGTAAGGAGAGGGGCTGAACGGTGTTTATTCTCATGACACTCAAGTCCTTTCCACTGTTACTCCAGGGAAAAGATGCCCATTCCCTGTCCACTTTACCATAATTTGGTGGATACGGAAACTGCTGTGGCGGTGCTTGTGGCATCGCAGGTCCTGCCAAGATGCCATCCATGCTGGGGGAGGCGGTCACATTGGGGGGCGGGCTGAAGGCCTGGGGTTGAGGCTGCTGCATCATCATGGCTACCCTCTGCTGTCGGAAGTGATGACTCAGTAGCTCTCGGCTGCGCTGGGCAGCCATCTGAGCATTAAGAAAACCCTGCCAACAACCAAGAAAACAGTGCTGTTACACAGGAGACCCCTGCACTACATCAGGAGATAGGGAAAACCACCACCCAGTGTTACGCGCTAGTCTTTATGATAAAAGCTTTTAGGCTACTGGGGAAAAGCTGGTTGAAAGAGGGGTTGGTGGTTTCGGTGCCAAGGGAAAAAAAGTTGTCAAGTTTTCAATGTAGCTAGAAACTCCTGTAAGTGACAGAACAGTTAGGGATAGAATCTGAATACAAACTCTTCAGGAACCAGGAAATAAAACCATTAAAGGGAAGACTGAGAACGTGTTGGGGCAATGGGTCGGAGCAAGAAGGGGACAGGGTTCCAGGGTTCCACTCAGATGAACAAGAACCCACTCGGGAAGACTGAGTAATCTCATCTAAACCTTCCAGAGGGAGAAGAGGAGAGCCTGCCAGGTGCCGGGATCTGCGTGCTAAGTGAGGCAGAGGAGGAGAGCCTAAGTGGGGAAGCCGACAGCTCTACAGCTCAGGGCATCCTTTGCAAGACACTAACTTTTGCCATCTCTTTGTAGGGCAACCCACTCGCTTTTACAGGATGTCGGGTTACCAAATGTACAGGTACTTCCAAGTGGGGCCCAAGAAGGCAATAAGCCAGACATCTCACCATTTGTTGTTTTTAAACAACATCCACAGTAGGTGACCGTCACAGCATCTGCCTCACTCCCATCAGTGACTCGAAGCCCTCTCCCACCACCCCTGCAGACACACAGTGTGGATCTTCCCTCCCAGAACACACCATCACTGAGACTGGAACTGTATTTTACCAAATGAACATGTGTTTTCATAATCCAGGAACGCAGAAAAGCTTACAGGTTATTTTAAGTTCCTAAAAAACCAAGGGATAGCTGCTATTCTGACACAGCAACTGCCTACACATTAAAACAAAACAAACAAACAAAAAACCCTAATCAGAGTGATTTTAATGAAGAAATCCTCTGCCGACTCCTGTCACCACCAGCAAAAGAATAGAACAGGAAGCAGGTGAGGGGCTGTGCAGTGAGCGCAGACTCTGGGAGCACAGCAGCTCCCGCCCCAGCTGAAGACGCAGGGACACTCACCTGGGGCTGTGTCATGGGCCTCATCACGGCAGCACCGCCAGCAGCTGGGTTTTCCATTTTCATTTCAAGTGCTTGGCGACTCTGATTCAAAAACTAAAGTGAAGCAGGCTCGTTAGAAGGCAAGAAACCTGCTGACATGCCCCAAACAGCTCGGCAAGCCCTCAGCGCCACCCAATAAAGTCACAGTGACACCTCTGAGTCCACTCATTTGGTTAAATGTCACATCTAACTGAACCAAGTATGCCTCCACACTGCAAACAGCTAACGAAGCAGGGGAGTGCTGTGTGGGGCACAGTTAAGCTGCCACTTCCGAGCCCCGCACCCCGTCCTAGAATGCCGGGCCCAGGCGCAGCACCTCCACCTGTGACCCAGCCTCCTGCCCATGCCGTCCGGGAAGTGGCAGGTCACAGCCAAGTGTTTAGGCCCCTGCCACCCACAGGAGACCCGACAGAATCCCTTCCCAGCCCTGGCTGCGGTGGCATTTGGGAACTAAAGCAGCAGAGACAGGAGGTATCTATCTACATCTTCTGTCATCCACCACCCAGCCTTTCAAGTAGACGAAAACAAACATTTCTTTCACAAGACTAATGATGCAAAGTGCTTGCCTAATGTATAAAGCCTTACTGTTTGACACAGGGAGGAAAATACAAGTGCACTGTATAGTTGAAAGAGAATCTTCCTGACTGTTCAGGCACTTTAGGAAACAGGTTGAAGTTGATCAGACCAGCAGTGAATAAAGTACATCCTCTACTACCTTTCCCTAAGTAACTTCTAGTGAAAAGAAGAAAGGTGACAAGGAAGATGGGACCAGGAGACCACGCACCCAGCTTTCCCAAGAACCCTCAGTCACTAGTCAACCCTATGCAGTTTAATTCTGTCACATTTAATAGTTCAGCATACTTTAGACACACACGCTAGAAATTCAGTCCTAAGACACCTGTGGGGAGGCAGGCACTGGGTGACTCAGACGGCCACGTGACACATCAGAAGGCAGGAGCTGGATGGCAGCTTCCTGCCAGCGGAAACCCTAGAGGGGGCAATGACGGCTCAGGTGGCGGGGGTCCTGCCACCTGCCTGGGGGACCTGGATTGGGTTCCAGCTCTTGATTTCAACTCCCCAGGGGATGAGACCCACTCCCTCTACCTCTCAAATGAAAAATTAACTTTTCTAATAAAATTAGAACATTAGTTGGGAATAAAGAACTCTGGCCCTATAAAACTACAAACCAGAGGTTCCAACACTGGCTAACACTAAGGGGGCTTAACTATTTGGTTACTTATACTAAGGACTTGTAACCGGGTTCAAGTTGTGCTCTACTCCTCCAATCCAGCTCCTTGCTAAGGCAGCAAAAGACGACATAATTATTTGGGGTCTTGCCACTCACATGGAAAACCTGGAAGAAGCTCCTGGCTCCAACTGTGTGTAGGCTGGTTGTTGCAGCCATCTGGGAGTGAACCAATAGAAGTGCACTCAATCACACACACTCTCTTTAGCTCTTCCAAATAAATAAATCTTTAAGAAATTTTTATAGGGGGGTGGCGCGTAAGCCTAGTGGCTAAAGTCCTTGCTTTGCATGTGCCAGGATCCCATACAGTCACTGGTTCTGATCCCAATAGTCCCACTTCCCATCCAGCTCTCTGCTTGTAGCCTGGGAAAGCAGTCAAGGACAGCCCAAAGCCTTGGGAACCTGCATCCATGTGGGAGACCCCGAAGAGGCTCCAGGCTCCAGGCTCCTGGCTTTGGATTGGATCGGCTCAGCTCTTGCCATAGTGGCCACTTGGGAAGTGAATCAATGGACAGAAGATCTTCCTCTCTGTCTCTTCTCTCTGTATATCTGATCTTCCAATTAAAAACCAGTATCCAGTTCTAAAAGCACGACTCTTTGGCAGAGTCACCTGCACATATCTTACATGGAAATGCACACAAAGGGAATTCCTTTGGTTGAGAAAAGAGAAGAGAGAGAGAGACAGCAATGGGAAAAGCTCTGAGGAACATAAGCCAAAACAACCTGAAGACGATGAGGCCAACACAGAGCCCGGCGGGCCCAAGCGGAGTCCAGGACGGTTACCTGCTGGCCCTGCAGCCTCTGCTGCAGCTGCATCCGGAGCTGCTTGGGGGTGTTGGTCCGGGGCCTCATCATGTTGGCCCTCGGGTGCATTCCCTGGAGAGCAAAGTTGCCTTGTTGGTTCATCTGATTCATCATCGAGTTAAAAGGTGGTGATTGTCCCTGAAGGTTAAAGCCTCCTTGCATCGGAGGCCCCTGTGCAGGGTACGCCTGCCCGTATAACGTGGCCTTCTGATCCATCATCACTGCTGCTTCTTGGCCTTGGAAAGCATCCTGTTTGGGCTCCAGAGCTTGTCCCTTAACATGAAAGACAAAAACGAAGTACACCTTTGTAAGCTCAAACAGCAAAGCAAGGCTTCGAGGGAACGCAGCACAATCACGCTGAACAATCCCAAAAGCAAAATCAAGGCGACTTTCGTATCATCTTCAAATTGTCACGAGGACACACTACACACCCTCTCTGTCCAGGACTATGTCCTACTGCCCGGCACAAAATATGACACAGGGAGACACTCAGACACTGTATGAACCAGATAATCATAACCCATCAAACACTTGGAGAAACAAAACTGCTTCCAAACCATGGAACCCATGGAAATCAACAAATGTTCATATTCTGTTGGCACATATGCACCAGATGAACATGGTGGTGCAAAAAGGAGGACAGAAGGAATCCATTTGTCTAACAAGTACATATGCGATTACATGACAGGTATCACTTCGCCTAGGGCAAGGGACATGTACGGGCTAAGGACCAGCAGGTGGCAGGGGAAAAAGTAAAAATTAAAAATGTTTTAAAATATTTCTTTGAAAGGCAGAGATATAGAGGTCTCCCAACTGCTGGTTCATTTCCCCAACTGGGCAGGTGAGGGCCAGAGGCCAAGGACTCGGCCTGGAACTCCCACTTCGGTGGCAGAGACCCAAGCATCTGAGCCATCACTTGCTGCCCACCTGCCCCCAGGGCACGTATGAACAGGGCGCTGGAATGGAGGGCAGACTTGGCACAGACACACCCGCAGCCTACCTGATTCACCAGCTCAGGGATGCCCAGCGCTCTGTCAATCTCCTCCAGGCCCGTGGCGTCCGTGTTGCTCAGGAGGGTGTGCAGCTGATCCAGCAAGGCTCTTTCATCAGTCTGGCCTTCCAGGTTAGGAGGAGGCCCAAGGAGATCGTCCAGGGAATTCCTGAGAAAGGACCAGAATGTGACTTGCCGTCGATTTATTCTCTGTTTAAAGACGACACTGAATCTGAGCCTCAAGGCACAGTGTTTCGTGTACAGTAATACCTCACATGACTGCAAACTGTGAACCACATAAATGAGAAACCAGCACCAATTTAAACTTAAGACCGGCGATTTGAAACTTCACTGGTCATCTCAGAACATCAAAGCTTCACCTACAATCCTGCCACCAAAAATAATCTCCAAATTCCAGGCATTCAGAGAACAGCAGAGCCTGGGATTGGGGGAGTGGACTGTTTTCAGGATAAGAATAAAGATGATGGAAACTGTGATATTTGAAAATTTGGAAAAATCAACCAAAGCACAGAAGAAAGATTAAAAATACTGAAATATCAATGACTACAGCCAGACAACTACCAAAATACCCTGGCTCTCCCTGACCCACAAAACACCTGCTGACAACATAATACCAAGTTCAGAACTGCAGCCCTAGGTGCCACGGGGCTGTGCACCACCGCAACCCTCCGCTAACAAACTCACTTAGTTACATCAATATCTACTCCACAAACTGGTTCCTTTTTTCTCTTAATTTACCACTAAGGGTACTACAGTTCCCCTCCACTATCGTTACTGAAATATTCAGACAACTTTTCTCCCCCAAAAAACTATCAATTTATGACTGTTAATGCTAAACAAGATGTAACTGCATAGAAACTTTTGATGTTCAGTTTGTACTAAGCTGTTTTATATAGGATGGATGTTAATGTTGACGCTTTCACTGTTCCTGCACCACTGTGTTTTAGCTTAAACTCAAAAACATAGCTTGGGAGACAAAAAAAAAACAAAAAGGTTTATAGCAGCTGGTTGTGTATACTAAAATTGAGATGTCAAGGAAGTAGTTACATTTTCTAACATATTGGTCACTCAATACCATGTTAATTAACTTCATGATGTTAGTTTCATTGTTGAAGTTGTTGTTGAAGTTGCGTAGTGACATCTCATTGGAGATGATATTCTGCCAGCTGTACTTTCAGACCAAGGATGGTCTCCCAGTGAAACTGTTGAATTTATCTGGACAATAAGATGCTGCACTCTCTGCATGGTCCATACCAGCAATGAAGGAATCATGACTGGATATGATCTGTACTACTGTAACAATATGGAGGAATTCAATATGGGGGGAGGGCTTGGGGGAATCCCAGAACCTATGAAACTGTGTCATTAAAATTATATAAAATTTTTAAAATAAATAAATAAATCTTTAAAAAGAAATATTTAGACAACTTTAGAAAACAACTGTCTAATCCACAGTAAGTTTCCAGACAGCTATAATGTATCCTTTGAACATCATTTATAAGATCACCGGGACATATGCCTATCCTGTCACATCACACAGGGGCTGATCGACTCCCCGCCTCATGGAATTCTGGAAGGTTCTGAGACCTAACCACTAACAGGCGGTGACACCACACTCCACAGCTCTCCTGGCTCCCCTCCGACAGGATGCACTGTTCACCTCAGCCTCATTTTGCTTCACTGTTCTGAGAAGTGTCTTCCTTGGCCAAGTACCTCAATTTCATAGAGAATTTTCTCATCCTCTTTCAGGTTTGCCTGTATGCCCCCATAATCCAATACTAACTTGTTAACAGAGGTAACAAAACAAGAAGCCTTACCTGTTTTGAGTCCCATGTGGGCCCTGTTCCATGGACAGCATGCCATCTGGCCAGGAACCTGACTGGTTGGTTGGGGCTGCTTGGCCATAGGGATTGACCCCCATTCCCACAGGAATTTCACTAGGCCCTGGGGAAAGGGGAAAACCACGCACATGTCCAAGTAAGTCAACAGCAAAAATGACCTCAAATATTAAATTTTCTCTTTTAAACGAAGGGGACACTCACTCATGGGAAGTTGCTGCTGCTGCTGCATCACTGGTCTCACACCTGGGATGCTGGTAGAACGCAGGGGCAAGGAGGGCACAGAGCCTCCCAGCGTGGGTCTGGGTAAAGAGCCATTGTAATCTGCTGCTGGTCTGCCCATGGCACCTGAGCCCATGGGTTCCACTCGGCTGGCCTTCGGGTTCGGCAAGCCCCAGTCTCCCGAGGAAGGAGTCTGAGTCACAGTCATGTTTCTGTTTGGTCCACCTAAAAGGCAAATAATTAGGTCTTTCCCATGTTATTTACATTCCTCCTCGTATTGTGCAGTCATCATGCACCTCAATGTTGGCAACAAAGTATTCTGCCACCATAAGAACAGGCTGGCCAACAGGACAGTGCTGACAGGTCACTATGCTTTGTGTTCATTTCAGGTTCAAAAAAGTCACAGCATGGAAAGACTTTGACAGTTTAAATAATCATAGCAGTTAAATTTTTTTTTTTTTTCTAAAATCAGATATACAGAGAGGAGGAGAGACAGAGAGGAAGATCTTCTGTCCACTAATTCACTCCCCACGCGGCCGCAAGGGCTGGAGTTGAGCCAACTGGAAGTCAGGAGCCTGGAGCCTCTTCCAAGTCTCCCACACAGGTGCAGGGTCCCAAGGCTTTGGGCCATCCTTGACTGCTTTTCCAGGCCGCCAGCAGGGAGCTGGATGGGAAGTGGGACTGCCGGGACTGGAATCGGTGCCCATATGGGATTCCAGCTCCTTCAAGGTGAGAACTTTAGCCAATAAAAGTTACCACGCTGGGCCAATATATCAATTAAAATTTTAAGCATGAATGCTGGAGGGGAGAAAAGCTTATGATTGATTCCCAATTATTTAGCAGGTTTTAAATATTTTAAATTTTCTTTGCCAAAAAAGTTTTTTTTTTTCATCACAGACACAAATCAAAAATAACATACCCATATTCGAGCCATAATTTTCCTGGGTGTCCACCATTCTGGGATTTCCACCCAACGCAGGTTGCTTTGGTAACGTAGGGAAAGCACTGACATTCTTTCCAGGAGGACCTGAGCCAACAGAAACAGGGCTGTCTAGAGACACTGCTCGGTTATAGGGAGGGCGAACAGACTGCGCAGACTGGGGGCTTCTCAAACCTGGTGAAAACAGAAGCACTGTGTACACAAATATCTTGACAATGCAAAACACACACACCACACACACACACACACACACACACCCCAACACCAAACACTGTAACTCCCCAACCCGGGTGGCTTTCCTTCTCATGAAAACAAGCATTGTCTTCCTCTACAAAGTAAACACTAGGGAGCTCAGGAAGCCTGCATCAGACTACAGTGCAAGTTCAAGGCCCAGCTGCTCCATTTCCAATTCAGTTCCCCCAAAGTGTCTGGAAAAGCAGTAGAAGATGGTCCCAGTACTTGCGTCCCTGCCACCCATGTGGGAGACGCAGATGGTGTTTCAGGCTCCTGGCTTCAGCCTCTGAAACATCTTTGCCACGGGATATTCAATGGTTCATTGCATGTGTCCCCAGCCCTTTTAACTAATAAACCGGGTGTGCTCTTTGTGAGGCACTGTATCGAATGCAGCACAAGGCTCAGGCTCTGCCTTCCAGGGGAGAATGGGAGGAGTTAACCAGCTGAGAAGTGCAACAGAGATGTGCAATGGTGTTAGTAAATCCAGCAGGAAACACATAACCTATTTGGGATTGAGAGAGGGGTATAAGAGAGAAAGCTGTAACAAGGTGGCCAGAACTGCGGTACAGCACACTAAGCCACCGTATGTGATACCAACATCACATATGAGCACCAGCTCGTCTCTTCCAACTCGGCTCCCTGCTCATGGGCCTGAGCAAGTAGTAGCAGAAGAGTCACGTGCTGGGGTCATTGACACCCACGTGAGAGACCCAAAGGGAGTTCCTGGCTCCTGGTTTCAGCCTGGTCTTGGCCCTGTAACAGTCATGGCTATTTGGGAAGTAAACCAGAAGACAGGAGGCACTTCCCTCTCCCCTCAACAAATCCTTTAACTCAATAAATAAATACTAAGCCTCTCCCTTCCCTCCCTCTCCCCCTCAAAAAATCCCATATTTCAAATACAACAGAAATCATTCTGAGGCTGAAATACTGATCACTTGTTGAGTCTAACGTGTTCATCCATATTCTGTTTTACTTAGTGTTGCAAAGGCCACCAAGGGTTCAAACTCCTATAGGTTCTTCCAACCAGACAGCTTGTCTTCTAATCAAATATGGAATGAAACATGGAATTTGCTCCTAACTTGGTTTTCTTGTTCCAATTTTCTATCTATTTCAGTTTAGGAAATTGCACCTCTGCAAATATAAATAGCCATCATGAATTATTCCTTTACACTTGATTCACACAATACATCCTCATTAAACTGATAAAGAAGTAAACACACAGGAACAAAAGAGAGGTTGGGAGAGACCCAGCAAACACCCAAGATGAAAACTCTCATGTTAAATGACAAAGTCCCCAAACTTTGTTTTTAACTATTTAAAAGGCAAAATTACAGAGAGGAACAGAGATAATAAACCAACCGGCTTATTCCCTAAAAGGCCTCCATGGCCAGGCCAGAGCCAGGGACTCCTAGGTCTCCCATCAGATGTAGGGCTTTTCCAGGAACATTTGCAGGGAGCTGGATAGAAAATGGCACAGCCAGAACTTAAGCCAGTGCCCAGATCAGGATACCAGCACTGCAGACAGCAACTTAACCACCATGATACAAAGCCAGCCCCCAAAGAACAGGTTATAATCTACAGACTGAACTGCTTTTTAATCCACCTGTGTGTGGACAAGGACACTATATGCCCCAACACTCACTACACATCTAGAATAATCAAGGATGAACATTCTCTTATAAGCACCATGATTACTGGCATATGAGTTAGAAACAGACACTAAAAAAAAAAAGGAAAATATCCAAGAAGTTTTCAAATCACACACACATGTAAACACACACGTTAAAAACTGGTATAAGAAAATGAGAGGCAGAATATCTGTGGTACGTTTATCCGTGTGCACAGACTGCAAAAAACCAACCTGTTGGCACTTTCTTACCCAAAGAATTAGTTCCTTGAAACATCTGCTGCTTGGTCCCCAGATGACCACCATTTGTAGACATGGAATTGTAGAAATCAGAACTGGTTAGATCACCAAGAATAGCATCCAGGTTATCCAAGTCTCCAGAGCCCTGGAAGCAAAATTTTAAGAATTATATTGTACACACTCCTAGATGTACACACACACCAGAATACAGGCAATGCAAGCAAGCAGAAAACAAGTTACCTGAAATGATAGTGCCCGACTTAGGGCTGTCTCCCTTACGGCAGCTTAAACCACTAAGATAAATACTGGATTCGGTGCTTTCAAATGGGGCATTTTTCAAACATTTGGTTCTCACACTGTACAATGTTCTGCAGCTGACCCTGGTCACTGCAGTGACCTGAGCCGTGTCTGTTGGGGACGTGAGTCTACACATTCCCTCTGTAAATAAGCGTCACTGGACACAGAAGTGACAGGCTGACACTCAGGAACACAGTCTTAGGCATGCTCTCAAAACAGCTTTGATCAACAAACTTGGCAAACAGTAAGTTAAAGAAACTAAACCTACACCCAACTGTTGGTCTTCCCTAAGCCTTTTATCTCCTCTTTTTTTTTTTAAAGATTTATTTTATTTTTATTGGAAAGGCAGATATACAGAGAGGAGAGACAGAGAAGAAGATCTTCCATCCAATGATTCACTCCCCAAGTGACCCCAACGCCGGATCTGAGCCAAAGCCAGGAGCCTGAAGCTTCTTCCGGGTCTCCTGATAACTTCCATTATGCCCTCAATGATCAAGTGCTCAACAACAAACATCTCCGTAAGATATTTTCAAATGGAGCCCAGTGCGATAGTCTAACAGCTAAGTCCTTGCCTTGAATCTGCCAGGATCGCACTGGTTATATCCTGGCTGCTCCACGGCCTTGAGACCCTGAACCCACATGGGAGATGGAGGAGGCTCCTGGCTTCTGACTGGCTCAGCTGCAGCCGTTGCGTGCACTTGGGGTGTAGATGGGAGATCTCTCAGTCCTTTTATCTATAAATCTCCTTTTCCAATATAAATAAATAATTCTTAAAAAGAAAAAAAAAATTTCAAATTGACACTAAAAAGTTAGGTGTATTCTTAAATATATACATCTGATATCTCTACATTAAATCAGAGTGAACTTACTAATGCTGAAAGAATAACAGAACAAAGGACCAAGATTAATTTCCATTAAACAAACCTAAAATAAAAGAACTGGTGTATAATGTATCGAAAGGAAAGGATGAGACACGATGACTAAGTTGGGATAACAGAAAGAAAATGAATTACCTCCTCGCTTGGTTCGGTTTTAATTTTTGTGTCCTTCTCTTGGCTTGAGCTGGCGGTGGTGGAGCTGCTGCACTGACCCATTTTACTCTCTGCTGTGTCCACCTGGGGCTGCAGGTCCTTGGTGAGGGCATCGCTCGGCTCATCCCTGTCCAGCAGATACCTAAGCAGCGCGTTATTCTCCTTCCTCTTGGGACTGAGCTGCTCCTGCTTAACGCTTCCCTCCGTGCAGGGAAGCGTGCTGCTTGTGTCCTTGCCGGTGGCCTCGGCAGTAATCTTGGCCACTTCAGCTGGCGAGTTCCCATTCTGCAGCAACTTGTGCAAAATCCGGTGCTTCTCTTGCAACAGCGACCCGTGTAGATTGGATGTGGAGGACACGCCCCCTGACGTCGAGGAGGATACTCCAGAGGGGCTGGTGATGCTGACAGAGGAGTCTTTAGAACTTGAGTCAAGGGGGGAATTGGTCAGGGAGGAATGCCCCCGGTCATCAGAAGAGCAGGTGAGTAGCTGAAGCAACTTTTTATGACCTTTGCTCTCCAAGGGGCCCCGCTGATTCTCTGACACCTCCACACTGCTCTCCTTGCTTTCTCTGTCACTGAGGTGTTCTCTGCTATTTGACTGACACATTGAACTCTCCACTGGGTTCTGGTCACAGTACAAGCCAAGGGGACTTTTGGAATCCTGACTGTTCACTTTACTTGGTTGGGTTATATTCATATTTGGAGAGTTATCCAATTTAGGGCCTGGTGAAGACAGAGTTGATAAAAGAGAAGTCCCCACGCCCTCACTGATGGCTTGCAGGGCACTGAGAGAGCTGCTGGAAAAGTTGTGGCTCCCGGTGGTGCTGGAAGACCCCATGGGAGAGTGCACACCTGGATAGAGAAAAGTTAGGAAAATAAGCTATCAGCCTAACAAGATACCACTTAATTCTTCAAAATTTACTTTAAAATAAATCTGTAACAATTACAGTGATATGGAAAGAAAAGATTCACTTAAAAACAAAAATTAGAGCAGGCACCGGGCCCAGGAGTCAGGACACAGGTTAAGATGTATGCATCCCACACTGGAAGGTTTGGGCTCAATACCTGACCTGGGAAGCAGCGGGTCACGGCTGAAGTACTGGAGCCTGCCACACAGGGAACCTGACTGAGTTCCCAGCTCTGACCTCGGCCCTACCTGGGCTCTTCCAAGTATTTGAGGGAATAAACCAGTAAACAGGAGTTCTATCTCTCCACTGGCAAATCATTTTTTTTTAATATTAACAAAAAAAAAAAAAAAAAGGAAAAGGAGTGTCAATATGAATACCTGCAACAGGAGAAAACTGATGCGAGGCCATCTTTGGACTACCGCGATGACGAGGCGAAATCATGATGTTCTGCTGGCTGGAGCCCAGACCAGGACTGCCGTGCGGGGGGCTGCTCATGTGGAGTCCATAGTTGTTGTTCTGGTACGAAGATGGTGACTGCATGCTCGGCCCGGGCGTCAGCGAGCTCATGTTACTGGAGCTCCCATACCTAGCTCCACTCATCTGCCCTGTGGTGCTGGGGTCTGCCGCGCCATAGGTCCTGCTATTCAGAATCTGTAGGCCTTGGTTGGGTGACACATTCACGCCACCCACAGAACTACTGCATGCTGGGGCAGGAGCTCTAACGGCCTGTCCAACAGAGCTTGGGGTTGGCCTATACCCATTCTGTTCCCTACAAAGAAAACCCACAACAAACCTTCACTACAAAATGCTAGCACTACAATCCTCAAACATTCCCAGGAAAAACATAGTGACTGCCTAGGAATTTAATTCATCAAATGCTCTTCCAAATGATTTGTCCAATTCAGACACAAATCAGTTATTAACCTAAAAATCTACTTTAAAATAAGTGACAGAACTTCCCATGAGTACTGCCAGCACAGCACTGGTAACCAGACTCTTAGCCATAGGAGTTAGCCTGCAAATCACTCAAGAATCCTTTCTCATGCATTACTCATTTACCGTTAGCAACAACGATAGTAAGAACACTTTATTCCTAAAGAGTACTTTCAAAATTTAAATCCAGTCCCTAAAAGCAAAAGAATGTATTATTTGAACTAAAAGAGAACAGAAGTAATTACAATATGAATGCATTTTCCTCCAGCTTACCCAAGAAGTAATTAACGAATAAAAAGTCATTTCCACATAAAACCTTAAAGAAGACATACCTTAAATCGAGGCATCTAAATGCATTTCACCAGATCTAAGCACCTTTCTGCTTCTTCTCCCGTTTTATCTAAACACCAAAGCATCTTGGAAACACTAATGCATTTCGTACAAGAATATACGAGAACGCATCCCTACCTCTGAAGGAAGTGGGTTGACACAAAGCCGTGCCGGTCGTTAGTTACAGGGTTGCGGAAGAGCTTGCTCTTTGTCTGTGCAGTCACGATGGTGCCATCAGCCAAGGAAAACCGGTACACGGGTGTTTCTGCATGGCCGTGGATGTAGGCTTCAGGGGAAATACGCCAGCATTAGTAATGAGAGGCAGCGACATGAATATCCATAAAGAGAAAGCAACAGATTTCAAACATATTTTCAAAACACAATGGAACAGTGCACTTACAACATTATGGACAGGCAGAAGTGTGTTCAAGAATCACCTGCCAGCACAAACACCACAGATAACCATGGCGGCCGTATGCTCAGTCGGTGCGCTACAGCACACCCAAGACGGTGAGAAGTAAGATGAAGAGTCAATTCAATTATCTTTACCTTCTTGATAATGACGCTTCTGGGTCCCCGGCTGCCCGTCATTAAGACTAAAAAATCTCTGGATACACCTTCGAATCGTGTCTTCAAAGCCAGGCCTCATGGAGGACCTCAGTGAATTTGTATCTATATTGACAACTTTTCCTATTTAATAGAAAATAAAGATTGAAACCCAACCAAGAATTACCAACCGGCTTAGCATTGCGAAACAAAATAGATCAGATTTTCACTGCTCCACCTTCTCTGGTTCGAATTTCTGTTATATCCAGAGCTTTTCTTATTAGGTACAAAGTTATACTTGTAATATTTGGTCTTTGCCCAGAATCCTGGCATAGAACTCCTAAAATGCTTGAACTGTCCTATGTGATAAGAGCTTAGTTCTGCCAACACCATCACCCACCTGGTCCCAGCATGATGGGCTGCCTCCAGGAACCAAATTCTATCGATTCCCAATCTCTGAAGCTCTGTAACCATGAACTTAAACACACCTGTTCCCTCTGTAAGAGGCCCTTGCCCAACAGTCCACTGCAGTGACGGGAAGGGACTGCCATGTAATGAGGTAGATGACTGTCAGTATACCCACATCCTCCACTAGAATGGTGGGGCTGAGTTCCTTGCACCAGCATCCTGCCACTCCAGATGCTGGAAGACAACAGTGCTAACTCAAATTTGTTGTGCCTGTCACCTACGTGGGAAGCCTGGATTCAGCTCCAGGTTGTCAACTTTGGGGTCTGGGCCAATAGGAGAGGTGGGAAGTGGATGAGACAGTACATGTGTGCGCTCTTTCAAATCAAAGTTACAAAAATACCAGACGTGCATTCTTTCATGATGAGGGAAAATACTCAGGAGATCATTTGAAATGCTTATTTTCATCTCCATGAGAAGCAGAGCAACAAAGACTGATCTTCCATTCCTGGGTTTAACACCCCAAATGCGAAGAACAGCCAGAGGGCCAGGTGAGATACAGGATACCAGCCCCAGCTGGGTCTCCTGTATGACTGTGAGGGACTCAAGCCAGGCTGGGTCCAAGGAGAACCAGGACACAAGCTGCACTTTGATACATTAAATGGACATCCTGGGGGAAAATTTAACCCACTGCACCACAACATCCACCACATAAGGGCACTTTTTTATGTGTTTACTTTAAAATTTGTCATTGATTTATTTTAGGGGCAGTGTTAGAGAGCAGAGAAATCCACCCACTGGGTTTACTCTCCAAATACGTAAGAGCTTTAGTAAGAGTCTCTTAGGGTTCTGTAAGAAATCGACACAGAGCCGTTGCTGCAGCAAGCGCAGCCTCGAGGACAGTGCCGTGCACAGCGCAGGGACAGGTCACTTTCACTGGAGATCATGGTGCGAGAAGGTGTATGCCCAATTTTTACCTGAAAGATCATGTCTAGTAATAAAGCTCTCGGGGTTGGGTGGAAATGCTCTTTCTCCTGTGGTGATGCGGCGTGCCACACAGATCATGCAGGACTGCAAATCTGCAATAAAAAATGCAACCAGATAAGGACTTCCAGACACAGCCATTCAAGAGGTGAGCAGGGGCACCTACACGGGAGGGCGGCAGACCGTCAGGGTCCAGAGAGTGGGCTTGTGCATGGGCTGGGGGATGGCGCTGATGGAGCATGTGGGGACCTAGGGAATCCTGCCCAGGTGGGTAGAACAAGCCTGGGGATTTCCCCACATCCTTGATCCTGGGTGGCTGGAGGGAGGGAAAGAAGCGGCGAGACCTGGGATAGCATGCTGGCCTGGTGTGCAGGTGGGTCAGGCTTGGAGAACTTCAATCGGGCCTGGGTTTTGGATGTGTGGAAGGGTAAGGACCCAGGTCAGCACACGTGTCAGGAGCTTGGGATCCTGGTGAGCGGGAACAATTCCTGGCCAGCACACTGGCCAAAGACTGGGCTTTGGAAGGCTGGGTGGAGGGACCGAAGTGCTCCCAGGCACAGGGATCATGCATTGATTATGGAAAGGGACAAGGGGATGTGTGGGAGGGAGGACCACTGAGGGAGTGTGTTGCAGGTAAGGCATGACTTCCGAGGGACTTTCATCAACAAAGCCACTGTACTGCAGGTAAGTTAGAGGACTGAGACCGAGCAGTCAGACCAAACCTTAGCACATTGACATGTGCAGGAGCCAGACTGGAGTGCGGGCCATGCCAGGCTAAGTTATCATACCTACTGGTCTGCTGGGCAGGACTGGGCCGCAGCACCCGCCAATGGGGAGGGCTAGGTCAGGTCAGGGTGCAGCATTCAATGGCAAAAGCCAAAGTGGGGGATGGGCTATACTGAACTTCATCAGAACAACCACTGGCACATGAAGATCTGTGGCTGGAACAGGCCTAGCTGGCAGTTTCCACTGGTGAGTGCGAGAGCAGAAATGGGGCAGTGATCTGGGCTGGACATGGCTGCAGTGTCCCTTGGTATGGGTGTGGACAGGGTCTGGGACATGCCAGACTGGACTAGACTCCAGCTCCTACTGATGTATGTGAGAGCCAGGGTGGACAGGAGATGGACTGGGCCTTGGCTCCCACTGAACCATGCAAAAGCTAGGACCGTAATACCCAACAGCAAGAATTGGAATGGGTGTGGGCCGGTTGGGCAGGGCTGCTGTTCCTTCCAAGGCAGAAAGTAAGCTATGCCAATCTGGGCCTAGGACCCACCAATGTGCATGAGATCTGCCCAGGGAGATCTGATAGAGGAGCTTGGGGAACTCCTTTGCCAGGACACAGTCCCTGCAGGTGAGCACAAGACCCAGGGCTGGGAGCAACCCAGACCGGGCCAAGTTATGGTACCCACTGACATACATGTGGGTCAGGTCTGGGGGCAGGTCAGGCTGGGCTAGTTCATAACACCCACTGGCAGATCTGAGAACCAGGACAGGGTGCAGGACAGGCCGGATCGGGCCATAACATGAACCAGTTCACATTAGGGCCAGAACTGGAGGCTGACTGGGCTAGGCTAGGCTTTGTAAGTAACCACTAGCATGATCTGGAACAAGGGGCAGATTGGGCTGGGCCAGTCTATAGCATCCACCAAACTGGGCCACAGCACCCACCAGCACATGCAAGACTCAGGGGAGGAGGAGTGCAAGCCCAGTACATTGGGGGATGCCCTGTTGGCCAATGATCCCTCTGGTGAGCATGAGAACTGGGTCAGGGACAGACCAGACTGGGCAAGGCTACAACACCTGTTGGCCTTCATGTGAACTGGTTTACAGGGAGAGCCAGGCTGTGCTAACCATCTGTATCCTCAGGTGCATAAATAAGCCAGAGTATATGCAGGTTAGTTGGGCTATGCTGCAGCATCAGCTGGCAAGTGCTCAAACTGGGTGCAAATACTGCCAAGCTAGACTGCAGAACCACCAGGAGAATGTAAGATACAGGGCTGGGAGTGGGTCCAATAGGGAAACAGTGGGCACCTCTTTACCGGACTGCAACTCCCACTGTTGAACATGGGCTGCAGGTGGGCCTGGTAGACAGGTGGTGGCACCTGCTGGCAAGAGCATAGGCTAGATGGTGGGACTGGGAGGGTTGAGCTAGACTTCAATGCCCATTGACATGTACAAGAGCTGGACGGAATGTGGGACCGACCGGACCGGTCTACAACACATACTGGGGTGCACAGGAAGCAGCGCAGGGGGTGAGCCTGGCTCCAACTAAGGGGCCGTTCCAACTAAGTTACAGTTTCCACTGGTGTGCATGAGGGCAGACTGTGTGGTAGGCAGGCTTGGGCTGGTGTATGTAACAGATGGGGCTGGAGACAGAATCGATCCAGCAATTGCAACCACAGTGTGTGCACAGGCTGATGTGGGCGACTAAGAAGCACACACGGGTCAGGCCTGGCATCACTTCAGATGAGGCTTCCTTGGGAATTCCCCAAACTGAACAACTAGACTCAGAACTCTAACCCTGGGGAGAACTGCAGAACTGTTGGACTGACCAGAGTGCTTGTGTCAGAACTGGGCCATCTCAGTGGAAAAGTCGTGGACAGCATATGCAGATGCACATGGAGGATTTGGCAGTCCATTGGGGCCTGGAGAGGACATCTAGTACCATAGCAGAAAAAGGAGGGCAGAACAAACTGGACAACTATCCCAGTCAAGCATTGACAGCAAACATCTGGGCAAATGGAGACTCTAGAGTGGACTACGTCAGCCAATGGTCCTCAGAAGGATTTCTTCATTCTTGGAGCAGCAAGATTGACAGCATTTTGTAATTGTCAAAACCATATGACCAGAACCCTTGGAGCATGCCCTACCTCAAGGAACCTGGGATGACAGCAGGTGGCCATTCCCCATACCCAGGTACTGAGGAGGCTGTGTGTGGCTTCCTCCCAACACCTCCCTTTCCCCAGACACAAGAAGAAAAAGAAAATTTGGTCTCAACACAGTCTCACCCACTTTCCCCTAATCCTCGACCATTCCCACCAAAATAAAATTTCTATTAAAAAAAAAAGAAAAAAGGTGAGCGGGGACAGGAATCCAACAAGAGTCACAACAGTGCGAGTTCCACAACTCCAAGTCTTCACTGAACATCACAGACATGGAAGTACTCTCACCTTCCCCTTCCTCCATCATGGCCCGGGGCTGAGACAGGGCAAAGCACTGCATGGTTTCATATCTCTGGCGCATGTCAGGACTGGTGTTCGGATCGTCCAGAAGGTCATGCGACGTTTTCATCAGCATACGGCAATTGAATGTATGACTTTTTTGTCTCTGGGTCTCATTCGTCCAAGAAACCCCATTGACTTTGAAAGACAAATGGAAATCATGTTTACAGAACATGGGTAGCTATAAGAATGAGTATTAGGAGTTCAAGCTGCATTTTTTTTAAAAACATACTTTTCTTATTTGAAAAGCAGAATTACAGAGAACGAGTCAGAGAAAGACCATTCACTCCGCAAAAGACCATAGCAGCCAGAGCTGCTCTGGCCCAAACCTAGTAGCCAAAAACTCTTCCAGGTCTTCCCATGGGTACAGGGTCCATCTGCTGCCGCTTTCCCAAGTGCATCAGTAGGGAGCTGAACTGGAAGTGGAGCAGTGGGATTTGAACCAGTGCCCACAGGATTGCCAACACAGCAACTGGAAGCTTGGTCTACTACCTGACAGTACCAGCTCCCAAGCTGCATTTTTCATTATGCATGTTTTCCATAACAATGACGCTAACATTTCACAGTGGCAACACATAAAGCATCAAAATAATTCCAACTTTAACAACTATATATTTTATTAACTCATTCCATATTTTGACCCTATGAAACACCAAATTTTGAAGTCCTTAAGGCCATATTTGAGAAGTTTGCCATTGGGGCTGGTGTGATTCCTCAACAGGCGAATCCTCCTGCAAGTCCAGCATCCCAGATGCCTCAGCAGCATGTCCTGGCTGCTCCACCTCCTATCCAGCTGCCTGCTCATGGCCTGGGAAGCTGAAGAGAATGACCCAAAGCTTTGGGACCCAAAGGCTCCCGACTTCAGACTGGCTCAGCTTCAGCCACTGAAGTCAGTTGGAGAGTAAAACAGCAGATGAAAAAATCTTTTCGTCTCTCCTTCATTCTGTAAATCAATTTTAAATAAATAAATAAATATTTTTTTTATTTTTAAGTTCACTATTGGAGCCTGTGGCTGTGGCTCAGCCAGGTAAGCCAGAGCTGCATGCCATGTGAGTGCTGGTTCCAGTCCCTGCTGCTCCACTTCCCTCCCCAGGTCCCTACTGATGTGCTGAGAAAGGCAGAAAACAGCATAAGTACTCAGGCACCCTGCCTCCCACTCAGGAAGCCCAGGCAGTCTCCTGGCTCTGTCTGGTCTGGGTGAGCCCGGCAGCTCAGGCTGCCACGGATCCCATCGCACTCTCTTCTTCTCTCTTTCGCCCTCCCTCCCTAGAGCTTTGCCTTCCAAATAAAGAAGTCGTTTTTTTTTAAGTTTACTATTCACTAATTGCCTTTACATACAAGTTTGATCTGTTGTTTTCTTAAACATTCACTCTATTTTAAAAGAAATGATCAAGGGGGAAACATTAAACATAGCCACACACTTAAGAGCCTACCTGTAGACTTGGGCAGGTTCTTAAGAAAATCCTTTCTGTCTTCTTCATGTAAGATACTGTAGACACTTGTGTTAACCAGGTCCTCCTGCTTATACTGTAAATACTGGGTAACATTTTCTGACACAAATACAATGTTTCCATCTCTATTCACCACAAACAGGAAACCATCCAATGCCTGAAAAAGGATATGTTAGTTAGGCTGTTAGTGACAGAACTGTACCCCCAAGCTCTTAACTGAAATCTTGGTCCTCAGCATGACTGTATCTAGCAACAGAGTCTCTGAGGAAGTGACTAAGGAGAAAGGGTCGAAAAGTGGGGACCCCACTCCAGGCAGATTGGCAGCCAGGAACCCCCATAAGTGTCAAATGACACACCAAGAAGAGAGACCAACTCCACTGCCACCTTCATCTTACCCTCCCAGCTCCAGACCGGCAAGTAGTAAACTTGGTTGGTAAAGTCCCACGATCAAGTGGTATTCTCTATCAGGGTAGCCTTAGCTGACAGACAGCAGCCTTGGCAGTAAACAAAACTTGAAAATTTTAACAATCACTACAAACAACTGAGAGCCATCGTTTCTACCAAAATGATTACTGCCAAAACACAAGGATTACAGAAAAAAAAAAAAAAGCATTAGGTTTTTCCTATTTTCAGTGTTGTTTACAAAGCTGAGAAAGATGTATGCCCCAGTGGGCCGATGATTAGGGAAGGGTCAGAGCACAGAGGCAGGTGGATAGGACAAATGCTTCCATTAGATGGTAACAGCTCCTCTGGCTAGTCCTCCACCTCCAAGTGTTAGGATCTCATATAGGTGCCAGTTCATGTCCCAGCCTCTTCACTTCTGATCCAGTTCCCAGTTTGTGGTCTAGGAAAGCAGCGGACAACTGCCCCAAAACCCTGGGACCCTGCACTGGGTGAGAGACCCAGAAGAAGCTCCTTGCTCCAGATCGACTCAGCTCTGCCCACTGCAGCCATTTGGGGAGTGAATCAGCAGATGGAAGATCTTTCTCTCTGTAAATCTGCCTTTCCAATAATAAAAATAAATCTTTTTTAAAAAGTTCCAATATTTTATTCTCCTGCACCTGTGGAGTGGAGGAGTACTACCCAACACAGCAGCTGTCACCTGCCACTGCATCCATACGAGATCGCAAGCTGGAGGTGCAGTGCTTCTGCTGCCAATCAAATTCCAAGGTTTTCTTTTAAGTATTTGATTTCTTATTTGAAAGTCAGTCACAGATAGAGGGGAAGAGACAGAGACAGACTGGTTCATTCCCCAGATGGCCACAACGGCCAGTGCTGGGCTAGGCCAGAGTCCCGAGTTTCACTCAGTCTCCCACGTGAGGGGCGCAGGAGCCCAAACACTTCAGTAATCTACTGCTTTTCCTAGGCCATCAGCAAGGAGCGAGATCAGAAGTTGGAGCAGCCGGAACTCGAACTAGCGCCACATGGAACGCTGGTATCAAGGTGGGGGCTTTACTGTTGCCACAGTGCCAGCCCCACCCCCAGTCCCTGCTGATGAGCCTGGTAAAGAACGGAAAGATGGCCCCCCTGCAGGTGACTCTATCACCCATGTAGCAGATGTGGATGGAGATCCAGGCACGTGGCTTCAACCTGGCCCTACCCCAGTTTCTAGGGTCAGTGGGGTGTGAGCCAACAGATGGGAGACCTCTGTATATGTCTGTCTGTCTCTCTCACAGCATTGGATGGCGAACGTCTTCACACTTGCCTGAAGCAGCAGAGGGCCCAAAGAGTCTTTATCAATCACTCCCTGACCTGTTGAAGACACGTCAGCTTTCTGAACATCATCATCGTTGCAAATAGTTTTTCCTGAAAAGACAAGAGACAACTCTATGAATATAGCATATGTATGTAAGTTACAGACTAAGCCTGCCTTCAAACAGATCTGGAGCCGACACAAAGTCACACATGCATACATGCACACATAAAGAAAATGTCCTGATAAGAGGACGCTATGATTGTGAATTAGAATTGTTGTGTAGTTATCCAGGAAAAAAGATACCCTAAATTCTCTTTCAGCACTAAATGCATTACCTCATGGTGCCCTGAAACAGAACTAAGATGTGACATAGCAACAATGACATACCAATTCTGTTGAATGTTTCCTAAAGAGCAAAGACAGTGCATGCATTTAACCTTTCACACGGACTAACCCCAGGTAGCTGCAGGCTGTCTAAACAAGGCAGCAGAAGGGCAACACGCAGAAGCTGGAGCTGTGGTGCAGCACATGAAGAACACCCCCCGCAGGCCCAGCAGGAGAGCCCAGTGGCTAGATCCTCGCCTTGCATGTGCTGGGATCCCATACGGGTGCCAGCTCGTGTCCCAGCTGCTTCATTTCCCTTCCAGATCCCTGCTTGTGGCCTGGGAAGGCAACGCACAATGGCCCAAAGCCTTGGGACCCTGTACCAGAAGCTTGTGGCATCAGATCGGCTCAGCTCTGACTGACGCAGCTACTTGGGGAGTGATCTTTCATATCTCCTTCTCTCTGTATATCTGCCTTTCTGATAAAAATAAAATAAAATCTTCTTATAAAAAAGAATGCCACCTGCAACCCCAACTGCCCATATGGGCACAGGTTCAAGTCCAGGCTGCTCTACTTCCAATATAGCACTCTGCTAATGCTATAGAAAAAGCAGAAGCATCGGAGCCCCTGCCACCCATGAGGACACTTGGGTGCAGCTCCTGCCTTCTGGTTTCACACTGAGCCAGCCCCAGTCACGGTGGCCATTTGGGAAACAAACCAGTTGATAAAAGCTCACTCTCTCTCACTCCTCCAGCTTTTATAACTCTGCCTTTCAAATAAATAAACCTTTCAGACAAAAGGGAGGTGGGGCATAAACAACAAGGCATTTCTCCCCCAAAAACTTGAGTGTTTTTCTTACTTTGTATTACCTTGCTCTTTTATCTGACGAATCTGTCTTACTGTCTCCTTTAAAATCGCACATTTATCTGGCTTGACATTGAACGTGTCGATATCACTCAGATTTGCAGATATCAGTTCGGCCAGTTCTTCAATATATTTGCTCTCCTGTTCTCGTCTCCACTTTTCACCTGTGCATGTGAGACTAAGGAAAGAGAACGAAAACCCATCAGACTGTACAGCAGCGCTGCTTTCACACGTAAACAAACCAAACTGAGCTAACAGAGACTCAAAGCACTGTACTGTAATCGGTACGTTAGCAGAGATTCATGCAAACCTGAATTCAATTCCGCCTTTTTGCTAGATGGCCTTGGGTAGAGCTAGCCTTAGCTCCTTTATCAGGAAAACAGGAATAAATAAGAGAGATAGTAAGAAATAACAAAACCAGTGACAACTACTTATAGCTCACGGTGACCATTAATTTTTCAGACCATTTATTTTTCAATTATCATAGTAAAACTCAAAGGACAGAGATCTTGACTTAAGGCTAAGAGCAGTACCATTCAAAAACCAGCATTGGTTTACCTTCTGGCTTTGTAAAGAAAGAAAGAGCGGTAAAGCCTTACATGGTCAAAACCAAAGATTCTTCCCAAATCTTGGTCGTCTGCTCCCCAATACTCCCCTGACTGTTGGCAGAATGCTCTTCCACAGGAACCAGGCCCTTTAGAACCTTTACTAACTGCAAGATGCTCCCCTCATCAGGACCACTCAACAAGGGGCAGTGCATCCGTGTAAGGATGCTCCCCTCATCAGGACCACTCAACAAGGGGCAGCACGTCAGCACAGAGGTTACTAAGTGGAAGCAGACATGCTGGCTTCCCACAGGACGCAGCTGGGCAGGGGAGGCCGGGGCACGTGAAGCACATACCCTGGTCCCGGGGTATCACACTGCAGCTTACGCTTTCGCGAGTCACTAGCCCGAGGATCCAAGTTCTCTCCTAGTCCACTCATTTTGAATATTCATCAGCAACTAAGGAAGAATAAGACAGACACGAGCATTATGAAATATTCATGACTCAATGACAATGTTGCCGTGTGGAATGACCGCATCCAATAAATCAGTATCACTTTCCAGTTCTAAAATGTCAGACAAATCAGCACACTTTATCACAAATTATTATACTGCAACTATCCAAGTTCATGTGCCAGCGTAAATATTCAGAATGTCCAACTCAGAGGCAGAAGTGCTTCCAAATCCTGGGATGAGTACTGTGGCACGAGAGTTGAGCTGCTGCCTCGAAGGTCGGCATCCCAAATCCAAGTGCAGGTCCAAGCCCCTGCTGCTGGGCTTCCCACATAGCATTCCCGCTCACAAAGCCTGGGAAAGCAGCAGCAATGAGCCAAGGGCTGGGGCCTCTAACCCACAGAGCAGACTCAGTTGCAAGCTGCGCTACTGCCTTTAGCCTGGGCCAAACTCGGCTCTTGGGCATCTGGGGAGTGCACCAGTGGACAGAAGGTCTCTTTTTTCCTTAATCTGTGCCTCTTTATAACTCTGCCTTTCAAATAAACAAATAAGCTTTAAAAGAAAAAATAATAATACACTGTCCTCCTATACAATAACAAGAAAAGAAGGTTGCCAAATCTTCAGTGCTGACAAAACCCTCACCATTATTTATACAGTAAGACCTTATCTTGTAATTTGGTAAGAGGTCTCCAGGGCCCAGTGCAATAGCCCAGTGGCTAAAGTTCTCACCTAGCATGCCCCAAGATTTCATATAGGCACCGGCTCATGTCCCTGCTGCTCCACTTCCCATCCAGATCCCTGCTGAGGATGGCCCAAAGCCTTGGGACCCTGCACCTACATGGGAGACCCAGAAGCAGCTCCTGGCTTCAGATCAGCTCAGCCCCAGCCATTGCAGCTACTTGGGGGAATAAACCAGGGAATGCAAGATCTTTCTGTCTCTTTTCCTCTCTATACATCTGCCTTTCCAATAAAAATACATAAATATTTTTTTAGAAAAAGATGTCTCCAAATGATAGACGTCTGACTTCCCCCAGGCTCTTTCCTGGCAGGTCCCTTTGGGAATCTCATTCCTACCAATCCCCAGGTGAGTTCTCTCTTCCACCACAAGGAAAAAAAACTAGAATATAGGAATGACATGCTACAACTGGCGTACATATTCCCGAGGTTGGGGGGCATTTTGACATTGATGCACAGAGCACCAATTATTTTGATGTTTTTTTTTTAATTTATTATTTTTATTGGAAAGGTGGATATACAGAGAGGAGAGAGAGAGAGGAAGATCTTCCGTCCTCTGGTTCACTCCCCCAGTGGCTGCAACGAATCTGAGCCAACGAAGCCGGGAGCCTGGAGCTCTTCCAGGTCTCCCACGCGGGTGCAGGGTCTTAAGGTTTTGGCCCATCCTCGACTGCTTTCCCAGGCCACAAGCAGGGAGCTGGATGGGAAGTGGGGCTGCTGGGATTAGAATCAGCGACCATAGGGGATCCCGGTTTGTGCAAGGTGAGGACTTTAACCACTAAGCTATCACGCCGGGTCCTTGATGTTTCTTGATAGAAATAGAGTATAGGATAGCTAAAGATTTATTATGAAAAAATGTAGGGTATTTCCTGAGAAAAAGAAGCCACTTTAACACACGGTAGCCGATAATTTAATTTAAGACACCTTCTGCCTTCTCTTACTAATAATTTTATCTGTACTAAATTTTCTTTTAGGAAATGACAATGAGAATCATTCAATTCCATATCAATGATCAAAGTTGTAAAGCACTTTTAATGAGATATAGCCCAAATAATACAAATGTCCACTAGGTGGCACAAAACCTTCATGAAGGAAAACAAGACTAAAATTTAAAAATTAATGAAGATGCTGATCATACTTAAAATACATAGTTTTAAAAATCCAAATCACATGATAAATAATCAGGATTTCTAAATTATATCACCACAATCATTAATGTAATAGGTATATATTAAGTACTACTAAAATCCATTTTATAATTTTGGCAGTGAAGTATAAAGAACAGAAAGCTGAAATGTCTGAAAAATTTATATTTTCTCTTTGACATAATTTTAAATGAAACAGAGAAAATCACTTGAACTTGACTGAAAGTGTCTCAATATTATGGTTTTAAAGCATAACTCAGGATCAATCAATCAATCTCAGGAAATCTACACTTTTAAACAACTTCAAGTCAAAGAAAGTCATCAGCAGGATTAGCTTTGTGGCATAGCGGTTACCATCACTGCCTGCAACACCACACCACCTGTGGGCACCGGCTCGGGTCCCAGCGGCTTCCCTCTCCACCCAGATCCCTGCAACACAGGAGGCCCAGGCTCGCAGGCCCCTGCAGCAGCATGGGGGACACAGATGAACCCCCTGGCTATAGCCTGGTCCAGCACCAGCCACTGCAGGTCTGTCACTCTCTAACTCTTTCAAACAAATACACAGATCTTGAAATTCAAGCCCAGAGAAGTAATCGTCATAAAAGACAAAGTCTAGATTTCAAAACCTACCAGAAATGAATGGAACATCTGATCCTAGACTGACTAGATCCTGTACCATGGAAGAGAAAAGGCACCATTAGCGGTCTGCAAAGCCACCGACAGCGGACGAAGCAGGCATCCACGCCCCTGAGCCGCCTTTGTCGGAGGTGCACCGCCATCAAAGCAGACTGCTGATGGCTGCTGCCAGCTTCTAGAAATTCAATCTCATGAAGAACCTGGATGTTGTCTTACTCTCCTTAATGCTGCGGCTTTGGGGGAGCTTCAGGCCTCGTAGTCTGAGCATTACTTGCAAGCAGGAGGAAATAAGAAGATGCAGGACAGCCCCTGAGACAAAAGCGGCCTGAAGCTTTTGGCAGCAAGTAACTTCTGTGTTTAGAACAGTATCACCCTAAGATACACTGCACCGCAAAGACCTCAATGGTCAGGGGGGAAACTGCTGCAGTGAGCAGAACGGTGTGTCTCATGTTCTGGCCCTGGAAGCAGAACTGCACACAGGATCTCACCCGCCGTATGTATTAGCCAACATGCTGGCTTCACAAGGGTATTCAAAGTCAAGTTTTACCGAGCAGAACCGCAACCTCCCTGTTTCGGTTGCATCCAACATATCTGGACCTTCGGCAAGAGATTCTTGCTATGTGGCATCTGGATTACGCTCGTCATTCACACCAGCCGACCTTTCCTGACGGCACACAATCCTAAGATGTATCTCCAATCCATTCCCATACCAGATTCACATCAACACAGAAGAAATTTTGGAAGATTAAGTGCCAAAATACACAGCATAACACTTGCATACTTTTAGCATCATACAGAATTAACCTTTCAGGAAGTATGGAACAATTTAGACGTTGTGTGGCTTATTCCTCCAGTCATTTCAAACTCACGGTTATCTGTCTGCTCACTTCAGGGTTGCATCCCCCACATTCACACCAGGATATCACAGGTTTGCTTACACACTGTTTAAACCAACTCTTATGACTGCTTAATTTGCTGCTATAAATCACATTCTGTTTTTAACAGAAAACTTCCATTTTGAAAATCTACAACTCTTCAGCATCCTTAGGCAAAGCCTCCCAGTTAATTCAATGTTTGCACTCAGGTACCCGTTAACAGAAGGGCTTGATAAAAGAATAAGAGGGGATTCTTAGATCTTTTTAATAAAATGTTGCCCTTCTCTTGTACAGATCATGTAGAATATACTCTTTAAATTAGTTAATAATTTTAAGAGGTAGAGGTACATTTTTGTTTTAAGCTTAAAACAGGGCCCAGCGCAATAGGGTAGTGGTTAAAGTCCTCACCTTGCACCCACCAAGATCCCATATGGGCGCTGGTTCTAATCTCCGCAGCCCTGTTTCCCATCCAGTTTCCTGCTTGTGGCCTGGAAAAGCAATCGAGGATGGCCCAAAGCCTTGCAACCCTGCACCCACATTGGAAACCTGGAAGAGCTCCTGGCTCCTAGCTTCAGATTGGTGTGGCTCTGGCCATTGCACTCACTTGAGGAGTGAACCAGAGGACGGAAGATCTTCCTCTCTCCTCCTCCTCCTCCTCCTCTCTGTATATCCACCTTTCCAATAAAAAAAAAAAAAAAAAAAGCTTAAAACAATTCCTAATTGGGGCTAGCACCATGGTACAATATGCTGCTGAGCTGAGCCATGCTGAGCACAGCACTGGCCATTGAGGCCACTTGGGGAGTGAATCATAGGACAGAAGATCTTTCTCTCTGTAAATCTGCCTTTCAAATAAAAATAAAAAATAAAAAATAAATCTTAAAAAAATTTATCAAAAATAACAATACAAAAAAAAAATAGAAAAAGAGGGAATAAAAGCAGGGGACAGGGAGGGGAGCAGGGGATGGGAATCAAAGTCTCTGGGAAAACCCGAGACAGGCACTCCATAAAGGCTGCACTCCAGATTCCAGTTTCCAATGAGCGCTCCTGCTTAGACAACTCAGTACAGCTGCCACAAAGTTCATCTATGGGCTTAACGCTGCAGATTATTTTTTTCCCTGAAATATCACACAGATTACAACGCTTTCTGGATATGTTACCGCAAGCTGGTCACCTGTGTATTTCACAGGCAAGCGGAAGAGGCAAGGGCATGACCATGGGGCGATCATGAAAACCTCACTAATCAGACGATCCTTCCAAGGTCTCCTGCGTTCCACTTCCTGTTACCCACGGGAGCACAAGAAGAAATGCAAGGAGAAGGCAAAGAACAAATGCTTTTAAATATGGGCCCGGCACGGTGGCGCAAGTGGTTAAAGGTCCTCGCCTTGCACGCCCGGGATCCCATATGGGCGCCGGTTCTAATCCCGGCAGCCCCGCTTCCCTTCCAGCTCCCTGCCTGTGGCCTGGGAAAGCAGTCGAGGACGGCCCAAAGCTTTGGGAACCTGCACCCACGTGGGAGACCCGGAAGAGGCTCCTGGCTTCGGATCGGCATAGTATCGGCCCGTTGCGCTCACTTGGGGAGTGAATCATCGGACGGAAGATCTTCCTCTCTGTCTCT